CGACATGGTTACGAGAGGAACTCGTCGACGCCCCTGACTCAACTTGATTCGAAACGGCTGATCGAAGCCACGCACACATCCATGTAAGGTCATCGCTGACCGAGTGGCTTCACTCCTTCGTGAGAATCCCCAGACGGAAGGTTTAGGTTTACTACATGCAGGAGCGCAGGGACTCCCTGGCGGAACTCATCTAGTAGCTACGACGCGCGCGTGGCAATCTCGCTGAGACCGCGTGCGAGGTAGACATAATAGAAGAAGCAGAAAGTAAGAAAAGCAAAAGATATTCTCACCCCGGACCTCGAACCCCGAGGTCTGCTAGGTGAGAGCCAGCTATCCGAACCGCCTAGACTATATGGGAAGGCTGAACAATGAAACCGCACTCAAAAAAACAAACCCAACGCAAATACACACACGCACAACCACTGCAACCACTGCAACCACGCCCCAAACGCACGCTTCATACGCTCTCGCCATCCTTCCAAGCGCTCTCACGGATACGACTCCGCTCTTTGCCTTTGCTGAGCCGCAATAACTCATCGACGCTATTCATCGTCTCGTCGGGAAGACATATTTATAACACGCTGCTCGAGGCCACCTTGCCGTCCTTTGGCTCGGTTCAGCCGTTTGGTGCTAGTGGGCGTCCGTGGAAAGGTCATTGCTGATGACAGTGGCGACACTCCACCGTGAAAAGGCCCATACGGTAGGATTGGCATTACTACATGCAGGAGTGTAAGGACTTGCAGGCGAAACTTACCGAGTGACTACGACGCGCTTGTTGTAATCTCGCTGAGAAAGCGTGCAAGGTAGACGAAATAGAAGAAGCAGAAAGAAAGAAAAGCAAAAGATGTTCCCACACCGGGACTCGAACCCGGGTCTGCTGGGTGAGAGCCAGCTATCCTAACCGCCTACACGATATGGGAAGGCTGAACAACGAAATCGCACTCAAAATAACAAACCCAACGCAAATACACACACACGCACAGCCACTGCACCACTGCAACCACGCCCCAAACGCACGCTTCATACGCTCTCGCCATCCTTCCAAGCGCTCTCACGGATACGACTCCGCTCATTGCCTTTGCTGTGCCGCAAAAACTCATTGACGCTATTCATCGTCTCATCGGGACGACATATTTATTACACGCTGCTCGAGGCCACCTTGCCGTCCTTTGGCTCGGTTCAGCCTGTTGACGCTAGTGGGCGTCCGAGGACAGGTCATCGCTGATGACAGTGGCGACACTCCACCGTGAAAAGGCCCAGACTGTAAGTTTGGCATTACTACATGCAGGAGTGTAAGGACTTGCAGGCGAAACTTACCGAGTAGCTACGACGCGCTTGTGGTAATCTCGCTGAGAACGCGTGCGAGGTAGACAAAATAGAAGAAGCAGAAAGAAAGAAAAGCAAAAGATGTTCCCACACCGGGTCTCGAACCCGGGTCTGCTGGGTGAGAGCCAGCTATCCTAACCGCCTAGACTATATGGGAAGGCTGAACAATGAAACCGCACTCAAAATAACAAACCCAACGCAAATACACACACACGCACAACCACTGCAACCACTGCAACCACGCCCCAAACGCACGCTTCATACGCACTCGCCATCCTTCCAAGCGCTCTCACGGATACGACTCCGCTCATTGCCTTTGCTGAGCCGCAATAACTCATCGACGCTATTCATCGTCTCGTCGGGACGACATATTTATTACACGCTGCTCGAGGCCACCTTGCCGTCCTTTGGCTCGGTTCAGCCGGTTGACGCTAGTGGGCGTCCGAGGAAAGGTCATCGCTGATGACAGTGGCGACACGCCACCGTGAAAAGGCCCAGACGGTAGGTTTGGCATTACTACATGCAGGAGCGTAGGGACTCCCAGGCGGAACTTACCGAGTAGCTACGACGCGCTTGTGGTAATCTCGCTGAGAAAGCGTGCGAGGTAGACGAAATAGAAGAAGCAGAAAGAAAGAAAAGCAAAAGATGTTCCCACACCAGGACTCGATTCAGGGTCTGCTGGGCGAGAGCCAGCTATCCGAACCGCCTAGACTATATGGAAGGCTGAACATTGAACCCGCACTCAAAATCACAAACCCAACGCAAATACACACACGCACAGCCACTGCAACCACTGCAACCACGCCCCAAACGCACGCTTCATACGCACTCGCCATCCTTCCAAGCGCTCTCACGGATACGACTCCGCTCATTGCCTTTGCTGTGCCGCAAAAACTCATCGACGCTATTCATCGTCTCGTCGGGACGACATATTTATTAGACGCTGCTCGAGGCCACCTTGCCGTCCTTTGGCTCGGTTCAGCCGGTTGACGCTAGTGGGCGTCCGAGGAAAGGTCATCGCTGATGACAGTGGCGACACTCCACCGTGAAAAGGCCCAGACGGTAGGTTTGGCATTACTACATGCAGAAGCGTAGGGACTTCCAGGCGGAACTTACCGAGTAGCTACGACGCGCTTGTGGTAATCTCGCTGAGAAAGCGTGCGAGGTAGATGAAATAGAAGAAGCAGAAAGAAAGAAAAGCAAAAGATGTTCCCACACCAGGACTCGAT